CTGCGGTTGTCGGACAGTCCAACTGCAGCACGCAATCCACCCGTGCAAAGTCCAAGCCTCGGCTCGCCACATCAGTTGCGATCATCGCTGCCGAATTCACCTTACGATTGAACTTGTGAAATACTTCGAGACGTTTCGATTGCTTCATTGTGCCCCACAAACCCATCAGCGAGGTTCCCGGTCTCAGATGGCACAACGCTTCGGTGAAGAAACGAGCCTGCAGATCAGAAATATGGCCCATTGCATTCCACTTTTACAAATCATCCTTCAGGTTTACCCACCATACTAACAGCTAAATCCATACGTACAACTAAATTCGCAACTTTCTTCACCTCTCTAAACTACTCACAAAACCAATGATTTCATAATCAAAATCTAAATAGAATAATTCGTACAGTAAATCAATCTTACGACTATGTAAATGAATAAAAATCCAAAAGATTACAGCAAACACTACAAACCTGTTTACAACACGACACGAATATCAAACTTTTCTTCTTTCGATGCATCACCAAGTAAGACCATAACAAATTGATTTTATCCTCATCCGAACATACCAAATAACTCTTCAAAATATAATTCATTGTTTATTCATCCATTCGAATACAAATCAGATAACATAAACGCTACTTACGGCATTGCAATTTCATCACATAATGAAAAAAAAGAATAGAAAATAACCATTTTCATTTGCAGTATCAATTATTCATTACTGATAAAACTACTCCTATTACTATAACTGTATCAGTAACCTGCTGCAATTGATCCGGAGTTGCCTGAGATGCATTCTCGTGAACGGATATATAGACTGGATCTTTTAGCGCTAATCTCGCCAGATCTTTTACATTTTTGGTTTGTGTCGCTGAGAATAGGAGCGTTTGACGAGTGCGCGGTAGATTCTCTATTATTGAATTCATCTGAAATTACAATTCCATTCATGGGAATTCAATAGTTGACAGTGAAAAGCTGAGAAGTGCCATGCTGATGACAATTGCAATATCAACGAAAAAATCCCAAAAAATTTTTCATTTTATTAACATTCATTCTGAAAGTTATAAACCTCTCAAAAATTT